ATCACCACATTTACCGCAGAGCCGTTGTTACGCTGGCTAACTTAACCTTTCCGATTCTTGTGGCAAAAGTCTCTTTAATAAGGCAGTGGATAGATTATACATGAAACACAACGACAGGTTGTTTATTCAGCGCCTTGCTCTCTGGTACGCAATTGCATGTATGAAAAGCGTCTGTATTTTGTCAAGAAGAAAAGGCCATAGGGCGAGCAATCGCGCACTTGGAAATTAATATCAACAAATGTTATTTTTTTAATACATCAACTGGAAGATGCAAGGTTGTCGGCATCCAAGGATGAGTTTGCAACGCTCGCAACTCCTGGAAGATTGCTTTTTTTTTTGCAAACTCTGTATTCCGTGCGTGCACAACAAAGCTGATCAGCTGTGAGTTGGTGGCCAGCCACTTGCAAAAAAAAAAGAGCTGTCAGTTCTCAATCGCCACCACAAGCGAAACACAAATGCAAACTGATCCAAATTATGTTCCATCTGATTTACTTTTGAAATATCCCGAGTGAAACACGAATCGGACGGCTTAAATTCAGAGGTTCCTATCTCCATCATCAGTCATACAGCAAGACAAATGGACACGTTACTGCAGGGGATGTAATGGTTCAAAGTTTTATTTGCCACCTGACAGTCCAGGGTATAATGTTATTTTAATCTCTCACCATACCAGAGGTGGATGGAGCAATCTATCTTTCGGTGATTAAGTGTCTAATTAGCCCCAAGGTGGTCTGGGGGGACAGTTGGGGAAGGGGAAGGGGAGAGGAAGAAAAGGGGAAAAGAGTAATGAGGTAATGAGGTTGAGAATAAAAACGTACAAACATTTTGAACTGTTCTAGTTTCAAGTTGTATTGGCACTAGCTTCCTTCATCATTTATTGAGGGCACGTGTGGGAGTAATGTAGCACTAACAGGCAGCGGTGTAGAGTGTAGAGCTCTGCCCCCACCACTCTTCCCCCTCCAGAGTTACCACTCTGTTGTGTTCTATCACTGCAGGAAGCTGATGACTAGACTCTACAGCCACTCTTCTCAGTCTGGCTACTCTCACGTACCACTAGTGGACAACGCTGGAATACAGCCAGTAGCTTTGCCTCACTCGGCTACAGGGAGATCAGAAGAGAGGTTCGGATGAGGAAAGCGCTTGATGCCTTTTGATCCGGTCAAAACCAGTGAAGGGAGAAATAAGTTTGGAACAAAGCAATTTAACTCTCCAAAGCTACTTTCTAAATGCAGTGGTTGCCTGGCATGCAGTCACTCTCAATGTTAACTGATTCAAAGGGATAAGAATCTCAGAACATGTGGCTGTTCTTCTGCTCTTCCATCTCCCCCACACGTCAAGATATAGAGCCGATGGGTTTCAAGTGACAAGAATAAGCAAAGCTCATGAAAAGGTTTATTTTTTGACTTGGGTTTTGACTCTAATTGGTTTTAAATTTCCTTAGGGAAAAAAACAGGATCCCGTTTCATACAAGTTTAAAAGAAATAAGTGACGACTCAATTGAAATTGCACTGAATTCAGCACCAAGTGCCTTTCGTTTACTCTGCTCTCTCTCCCAGTTATTCCTAGGTGTATTGTTTGATTGTTTGACACTGGTGGAATCATTACAGTGCAAATCATTGTTAGTCAATTAGCCAGATAGCACAAGTGTTTGTCCTTGTAGGTCCTCAGTGAATGAAGTTGTAATAAAATTCTCATGACAATTTACCAGCTGTAAAAACTTTGACAATGTATTCTTATAATGGGATTAGACTTTAATCTATCCAAAGACTATCTTTATTGCTTTAACAGCAGGAAGGGTATTTTAGTCAGTCAATCAAATCTACCTGGCCTATTGATGAAGGCAGATGAAATTTAATGCAGAATGCATGAGGTCATACATTTTAATGGGAAAGAATAAGGAAGGAAGTGTATACTAAATGGTAAAAAGGAATACAAGGACAGAGAGACATACGTCTGAGGGGAGACCAGACAGAGGTCTCCAAAATTATATGGGGAATTGACATGGCAGATAGGGAGAAATTATTTCCACTGGTCAATGAGTCAGTGAATTGAAAACATCAATTTAAGCTAATTACCAAAGGAACAAAGAGAGAGATTAAGATTCTTTTTAAACATGTAGCTGTTAGGTTGTGCAATGCCCTAACTGGTGCGATTCTCAAGATAAAATCCATATTTGCTTTCAAATGGATAGATATTCTAAAATGGGGTAAGTTGGAGAAATGCAGGAAAATTGTTCTGGATGGATTGCTCTTTCAGAAAGAGCCAACATATACACGATGGGCCCAATGGCCTTCTTCTGTGCTGTCCAGTTCTAAGGCTTTACAGTTGGTGATGTGACAAAGAGAGTAAATCAAAAATAGTCATTTCCTGTTTGAATTTATTCTCATCTAGTCAACTAGACAGCACAGAGTGTTAGCATAGTTCATTCATCTTTTGGGGTTGACACGAGAAACCAGATGGAACCATTGATGTATTATCCGCAGTGACAGTCACAAAGGTAAATGGCCTCCTTCAATGCTGGGGTGAGACAGCCCTGGTGTCAGCAATTGTTGTTGTGAGAGTTTCAGATTGCTTTGCCAGTGCCATGAGTTAACTGTTAGTCTCAAGGTCTCATCGGACGCGGGCACAAACCAGGTCTTACCTTCCATTGATTCTCCCTTTGCTAATCACAGCTGGAGTTTTCTGACAGGTTGCAATCTCAGCAGCAGAACTGATCAGAATGAGAAGACTCCTTGCATATTTCTCTCCGTCGCATCACAAGAAACCTCCCCCCTCCCCCAGAGAGCGACAAATCGTCCATCATACCAAGCCCACTGGGTCCACTTGCAGAGGCTCAATCCATGCATCTGACTCACTAAGATTATTAATTCCCCCCCGGATTTCCTGCTTAAACTAACCCATCAAATAATGGCCTGAACAATTCATTTCACAGTCATTCAGGGAATGAAAAGCAAATAAACTTGGACTATTTTCTTGGCAACAACAATTATATTATTTACTCCTATTTGTTCCGCAACAGATTTAGACAACTGATCACGCGAGCTTGTAATCGAATCTAACATGCAGCGGTTTCAAATGGGATTCAACACCAACAGCAGCAGCTTGCATAACGTTTGAAGAGGAAGGTCTTCAGGCGTAACCTGAAAATGGGGAAAGAGGGGGCAAGGCAAAGGGATTGAGGAAGGGAGTTCCATAGCTTCAGGGCGTAGTGGCTGAAGGCACAGCCGCCAATGATGGAGCGCAGGATTCGAGGGACAAGGATGAGGCCAGAGCCAGTAAAGCGGAGGCAGTGGGTAGTCCTGTGAGGAGAGAGGAAGTTGGAGAGATAGGGGGGTGCCAAGGCATGGAGGGATTTTAACACTGGAGTGCATGCTATTCAAATGGTAACGAGTGGGAATTCACTACAGTAACAGTAAGTACACGAAGGCATTCTGCAGGAACTCTGGCCTAAAATTAGATTAGAGCAGAACTCCTATATGTCAGGTTTCCTTATTAAGAAATCCCATTAGAAACTTCGCAAAATAGGCCCCAGTGAAGAACAAAAGTTAGATTGTACCATTAATGAGGTATTTGAAACAAGTAATTTGGCAAAGAATACAACTCAGCGTGAAATCACTAAATTCCTACAGCTACCCATCATCAACGTTTTGGATCTTAATGTCTGTGTTAAAATATAGCCTTTAATTACTATTCAGTGCGCTATTTTACCAAATCGAGTAATGTGGATATTTTAACATGTTCAGCCTCCTACACTATTTGGAGAGGATAGTGTTTAGAATTGGTTCTCTTGACCTTGTGTCCTGCTAAGTAACATTAGAGGAAAATGCCAAGGGGAAGAATGTTTCCCTAAACCATACGTCACAGACTATGTCGAGTAAAAGGCCTGTTTAATGGTTGCTGAGCTGTGTCCCTTATATATCCCAATGGACTCTCCACGCATTAGTAGTTCAACAAATAGCTAAATGTTAGAATAAAGTAACAGTAAATGATCCCATAATTAATTTTTAATCAAATAATCGTTGGAATGCAATTTGCACTTTCTCTGGAGATTATGTTTTTGTTTTCTGGCGATTTGTAAGGTTTTTTTTCATGTGTGGGGTAACAAACCAATAAAATGCAGTGAATTCCTGATAACTCATCATTCCAAATGAAAAGGGCTCATTGACGAGTTATCAGGAGTGTGCGAGTTAGGTATATATAGAGATATATATGTAAAAATACATAAATAATTGTGCATGGGATATCGAAAGCATGTTGGCTTTAGTGGTAGTGACAACTTAAGTGAAGGTCAAGTTATCAGGAGTTAACTGACCCAGTTAAGTCAAAGCTTTTCTTTGAAAATACAAAGCATTGGTCCCAGGGCACTACTTGGTATATAACTTCACAAAGTTCAGGATGTGCAAAAACAGCCATAAAAGTGAAGGAAAATGTCCTGAGGTAATTCAAAAGGATAGAGATAATCTTTTCAAACTTCATTGATCGATATTAGATTTTCAGAAAAGATGAATCAATCACAAAAATGTATCTCTGTTACGTTCCTTCCATGTGTGTGTGTGTGTGTGTGTGTCAGAGCTAGGCAATTTGCCAGGGTTTCTACTTTATACAGGATGTTTATGGTGAACAGAACAGTATTGTGAAGGAATTCCTTAAAGCCAGAAGGAACATTACACAGAGATCAAGTGTGACAGCTGACAACGAGGAAATAGCAGTGATCAATTCAAGCTGATTGAACCTCAACCCTAGACTTCTGCATTCAAATATTCCTCATGCTTGACTTTACCTGTAACACCTCCCACACTTTATCATTGTTCTCCTCCCCAGTCCCTACGGCTCCCACCCACCCGCTCTGGTGCCAGCAGTATTAAGCACCTTGAGACATCTTTTAGATGCGAAGGGCGCTGTGCACACGTTAATTGTATTGTAGTAGATGGATGCACAAGCATATTTGTTCTGTCAACAGAATTAAGGCCCTTTTTATTTCTTGCGCAATAGGTTATTACCTGCAAAGCCCTGCTCGGACCATCTTCTCCTCCGACAATATGAACCTTGGCCGAGTCCTGTGCGTGGGCAGACGTTGCCAGGATGTAGAACGCCGGCACAGAGGAGTGAGCATCTTTTACCGCGAACACAGATCCATCCTTCCCTACCCGAAAGTCGGGGTTGGAAATTGCAAACTCCAGACCTTCATTCCCACTGCAGTCATCAAAGTGCACTGAAAAAGAAATTGGGAGGAAGATAAAATGGCAATTAAGGTACAACCTCCAGTGTTAGTTTTTATTACTCGAGACGCAGTTCTGTGCTGTATCTCGTGCTCCAAGGCAGAGGCCACTGCTGGCAACCGCTCACTGTATTTGTGGCTTCTTTGCAGCTGTCAGTCTTAAGAAATTATAAGGAAAGTGCCATTGTATTAGTACCGCATTGGCTTTCTGGTTACCAATGCGTCATTTATATCATAAAGGTGGATGACAAGACCAGCAAAACAGGCAACGCACTGAAATTGAACACAGCTTGGAAGAAAAAGTATATCCATTTCCTCGGCCTACTTTAGAAACATGACAAGCTATGGTGTACGCACTGGTTAGAACTTGGTTTGACAGTTCAATCCAATTCAGTCAATATTACGTATTATGCACTTTCTGGTCTAAGGCATCAAGTAACAATAAGTATATTCATTCACAGCCCATTTCTTTTTGCTTTGAGAAAAAAATAACAGTAAGAACGAGATGCACTGATCTGAGAGAGAGAGAGAGATTAAAAAATGATTTCAGGTTGAGCAGAATATAAGAATATAAGTGTTTGATTTTTTTTAAATGCAATTCATGTGAATTGTCATTGCTTAATCGCTTAGGGTTTATATTACAGTAATAATGACTGCTTCGCTATGCAATATTACTGTTCATTTAAACAGCATGTTACATTGAAATATAAACGAGTCTGCCCGGGTAAACCAATATTTCCCTGGATCAGTTAGTTGCCTTAAGGTTTTTTTTAAACACCTTGAAAGATTAACGTTATTTTCACTGATCTTCAAATCAACAGTCTTTCCTCAAGTACCTTCACATAGCACGCCTTTCTACAAAGGCTTTGCACACCCAAAGCATGGCAGTTAATACTTTGCTTTTGCTCTCATCGTAATCCCTTTCGTTGGAAGCACATCCATGCTTTTTGGCCTTCAGTCCACTGGGTTGACAATTAAAATAAAAAACATGGTTCATAGCTGCCAAAACTCGGCAGCAATTCATAAACCAATAAAATAAAACATAGGGAGAAAAACATTTAAAGTATGTCAACATGTCTGGAATGCCTGACGCTCAGTACTAAAGAAAGCTCAAATCAGCATTCAGCTAGTTTCAAAATTTCATGAATTTTCTTGATCTAATTATACGGATAATACTAAAATTATGCTCTTATATTCAGACGCTGCAATACATTATTTATCAATTATGTGCCTGTGTTTATGTTCCAAGTAATTCCTGTGTTATTGAGCACAATGTGTGCTTTTGGTAGTGATTTATATTCTTAGGTGTTTCATCAAAGTATAGGATGAATATTTATTTGTTTGTCTGTTTGTTCAAAAATGCAATTCTTCTTTGATGAAAGCATTTGAAGTGATTCCCGGACTCGCAGTGTGCCAATAACTCGCTAAGACAAACAAAAATTGAAAAGGAAAGATTGCAGAGACTTCTGCGTAAACGAACCCAGAAAGATAAAACAGATCATTAATACAAGTGCGTTAATCAGGCGTAAATCACCAAATTATAAACATGTGAAAGGAATTGATTAACCTTCAAACTGTTTGAACTTTATTGGACAGTATAATCCACATAAAAGCATCCAAGCCCCACTGTTCAATAGGACTTCATTACTGTCTTTGATTCCAAAAGCATGCTTTAGTTTATTCTACAAAAGGATAGCCTGAGGGGGCAAAGCAGTATTTGTCAGTCTGAACCATTTATATGGAGAAGGAAAACTAATTTTTTTAATATACATCAGGAGAGGTTCATCAGATCAATAGAGTTTTCTTATTGTATTAATGAACAAGTAATTGAAATGCCAGAGGAATAGATAGAGTGCTACTATATCTGGAGCAACGAGCAGGGATGAACGGTTGAATTTCCACAGACATCGGATTTGGATTCAGACGTGAACCCATAAAAGTCAAATGAACCCAACTCCAAAATTGGAGAAAGATCTTCAGAAATTCACCAGGGACTGGGCTCAGCATATAACTTACCAGTCTGTCAAAGATACTCAATACAGTATGTGTAGACGTTACACACACACATATACACACACGCACGCACACACAACAAGCTAACCAAAGATTGGGACCATTCAGAGATATTTCTACATGTCTATCCAAGGGACAGTTACAATAAGGATCAAATATCCAAAGGTTATAGCTTTTTAACACCAGAAAATTTCTTCCAAAGACATTTTACATCTGTGAAGGGTGCTACATAAATATCACATAGGTCTTACCTGTTTAACCCTCCCTCCCCAGTAAATGTTTTGGGGGCTCATTTGAGCTCCTTGTTGGTACAGCACGGTTACCTCATAGCAGAACAGTCTAGTCGTCTTGTTTTTAAGTGAGTATCAACTCTTTCCAGTGGAAGGGCTGAAGGCTGAATTTTGTGTGGTTGATTGAAAACGAATGCAATCTAAATGTATTTTAATTGCTGATTGAGTGTCCTCTGTTGGATTCTGTGGCTGAGCCCAACCCAGGTGTATGTATGTATGTGTGTGTGTGTGTATGTTGAAGGAGCTGGGTTTCAGTCATGGCAACTTGTGGAATTTTCTGCACATGTGGTTCTTTTCAAAGCATTTTCAAAAGGCAGGACTATTTTCATGGGGAATGAGACTAATCTGTTCTGCATGAAATGAAACTCCCGCAGTGATCACAGGACTTCAGCGGAACGAAGGGGGAAGGTGTGAAACCCCTTTGAGCTTTTGAACATATATAAAATGCACATCAACCTGGGAGATTAGTCCATAAATCTACCAACCTTGGTGGGCAGCGAGCAGTTCTCTGATGGACATTAAATGGATTGACCTTGATGGTGTGAACATATAATGAGACAGTGTAAGTTCAAAACCACCTAACTCTGCTAAGTCACCAATGATGAGAGAATCTCCCCCCGCCCCATCCGATATTTTGTTCGTTATGTGAAACTTTTAGATAATGTCCTATTACCCAGGCAGCTCATAGAAAGATTAATAATAATAATCATCCTTGCATTCGATACAGCAGCTTATCAGGTCGTTGAGATGTCTCAAAGCCCTTCGCGGAATACACTGTAAAGTGACTTGACAGCATATTTTGTGTGTGAAACACAGCAGCCAATTGCGCACAAATAGTCGTGATTGAGTGACCAAGTTGTTATTATTAGTAGTTTTTTTTAAATTGTGATGCAAAAAAATTACTACTAGGTTTTAAGACAAAGTGAGCATCACAGGCTAAGACTGGGTATAACTCCATGCCTCAGATGCAATTCACAAGGCACTCAATAATGATAAGCAGTTTTTTTTATTAACTACCAGACACATTCTCAACAGGTTAGCTAAAGGCATTTCATATCAGTACAGGAGGAATGACTTGAGTTGGGGAATATAAATAAATGGCTCGACTACCATTAGTTTATTAATATACAACAATGTTTGAAATGTGTACGCAACAAATATTTAACCTTTAAAGCACTGATAGCCTTTATCATACAGTACATGACCTGCCCTCCAATGCTGAATATGTAACTTTGCATCATTTAATGAAAGGACCCACAGCTGCCTGCGCAGATTTGGGCCAACACCACTGGAGGAATCATATGGCACTGAAAAGGTCGCGGTTTAAAAATAAACCGTCGGCAATTTTATTAGCTTCGATGACCTTGCCAATGCTATACCCAACGTGCAGCTCTCCCCCCACCCCCCCTCGTGTCGCCACTGTTAAGTGAGACAGGAGGAAAAGCTGACATTTTTAAACAGTCGTCTCAATAGCTTTTTTGCTTCACCTGGAGTTTTCCCCCTTAAATAGTGGAGCTGTCATTATCGGCACTTTCGTCACTGAGGCTCGTATGAATCAGTCGATCGGCCGCTGGTATAATGGGACTGGTCAGGCCTCGAGTGAGCCATCAATTGCCACAGCCTTGAAGAAACAAAGCATTCTACTTCCCATCAGAGGCCTAATTAGCACTGACCCACTTGGCTCATTGCAAATATGGGCCTCATCACCCTCTCACTGAGTACTCGAGAGAATCACAGACACCCTGTTCTGGAGGATGAGATGGAAGCCAAAGACTATAGGGGAAAAGGTCCATGAGGACTCGATTAAAAACCCTTGTGTCTAATGTGTAATCATGTGAATCAACCGACGAGAATTGAGGTCTCCATTCAATCAGACGAGGTCAATTCCATCCGGCTGAGGCTATTTTAGACACTGAGGTGGCGTGATGAAGAAGAAAGTTCAACAGTTAGGTTCCAAGTTCACAAAGCTTTGCAAATCATGACAAGACAGGCTTTTAAATATATATATATAGGTCTAATTACGAATACACATTTAGTGCAATGTAAATATGAATAATTAATAGGGGAATTATCAGCTGTTAAAATGTTTTACCACATTGGACATGCCTTAGCACACTGTGAGATGGGGTGTGTGGACGGTGGGGAGAGTTACAGCTAACGGATAATAACAATAATAATAGCAATGCAGCTGATTAGTGAATTATTTACACGGTCACTTTGGGACAGAACATATCCACACACACATTAAAAGGACAGTAATAATCTGCCACAGTGTCACTCAGTACCTATTAGTACAGATAGACTTGGTATCATTGGGTAGAGCTGCCAAACCAAAAGGTAGGATAAGAATTGGTTGGAAAAACTGGTCAGACTGCACAGTGGAGCACAGATGACTTGTATTTGGTTACAAAAAAGGTAATAGTGCAGCCCTCTGTAGTAACAAATTGAATTGTAAAATCCTACTGATGTCTTTAGTGCTCACCGATTCAGATTTTTTATGATCAAGAGGCAGATATAAACATAACTTGAGCAGTGAGCTTATTCGAAAGAGAGAACATGAAATAATCATACAGGAACTCGTGCACATCAATAGATTTACTCATAAAAGCAGCACGTTAAGCAAACAAATATATTGACTTTTATGGTTCTATCAAAAGGAGTAAACTACAGGCTTATCGGGAAAAGGCAGGT